TATAAAAGCTCCAATACTTTCTCAATCTTAAGAATCACTTCATCCCAAAAAAATTATATGAAGATTTAGGATTGGTCAAATTACTAATAACAACAAAAGAAATGCATAGTGAACTAAACACTGGACGTTTACACTTGGCAAGGAAAGTAAATATTGGTTGTTTTCTGGTAACATACTTTTGGGCGGCTCATTGTTGATTGATTTTAGCTGTTTTTTAATTTTTCATTTCTGTGAGCCTATTATTAGGACATGCTTGGTCCAACCTTGTGCTTACTGCAACTGAGCTTGTAGGTTAGAATTCAAGGGCTGGAGATCTTCAAGCCCCATGCACGGAAGGACGTTCCTTCATCCATGTTAATTGCCAATGGGATTAAACAGCCGACTGACACAGTTGGGGGAGCTGGTCTTGAAGTTCGCTTGGTACTATGTGAGGACTATGTTGATGATGAAATGACTAACTGGAAAGTGGAAAACGTAAAATTCTCTGTTCAGCAACCGGTAATAGGATTGTGATATTTCACGTACATGGTCGCTGTCCTTTTTTTGGTTTTGCCCCCAATTGAGGTTTTGGGTGACGGAGAATTTGTTATGCAGATTGAGGTGACTGTAACCAAGGATGAGATTCAGCACCTAGCTTTTCTGTGCAAATCTGAAATTGACTCAATGGGCCGGATAACAGCTGGGATTCTACGGCTCCTTAAGTTGGAAGGTTCTGTTGGCCAGTCTGCAATGGATCAATTAAGCAACCTAGGTATGCTGTCAAATATTGACTACATAATTATATTTTAAGAGCAAATTCTTACTCGACGATTTCATACAGTTAGAGATATTGGCAATCATTATCTTTATGACTGGAATCTGGATTTGATGGGCAATAAAAATTTATTTTGGCTTTTTTGGTTGATGGATTGTTGGTGACTAGATCAAAGAAGTGAGGAATACATTGAAGAAATAGGGCCATAGTGTAGCTATTAGTGATAAACAATAACAAGCTTTATCCCACTAGGTGAGGTTAATTGCACGAATTGCATGACATTATTGTGTTTTATCAATGACAAAATTTTTAGATATAATTAACCAAAAGATCCTATTTAATCACTTCATTAAGTATTCTCTTCAGTCATCCTTTACTCTTTTAGGAGACTTCGTACTATCTGATTTACTCTCCTTACTAATGCCTCCATTTTTTCTTAGTACATGTCTGAACCACCAAGACTTGGCGCATGCAGCTTCGGCTTGTTTTAATTTCACCTGTTTTGGTTTCTCCTGTCCATCTCTAATATGTTGTGACGACTTGCAGGAACTGAGGGCATTGACAAGATTTTCTTCCAGAGGGATGGTAGCGTCCGATCTCCATTGTCAAGCCCCATCAGTGAAAGTCCAAACAGGTCAAAGAAACGAACTTTAGATTTGCTTGAGGAAGCAGTCATGGATTCACAGGCCAAACTTGATGCTTTAATTACGGAAGTTGGTACTTCAGAGACTTCCAGTCAGCATCTTGCTGTTGTGAATGAGGTCCGTCAAAAGATTGAGACTATGCAGAATCTATTGATGCAATTGCAGAATCAACTTTAGGAGTATCACAACTAGATCACCCATTGCCATAGGTTATCATTCTTTCGTATATAGCATACAAGTCCATTTGCTGAGTGTTGTACAAGTTAGGCTGAGGTTGAAGTTCGTCATCGGTGTAACATAAAAATTTTGTTCGGGTCTTGCATCATGGAATGAAGAAAAGTTATAATCTAAAATTGCAGATTGTCGCGCTTTTTCATTTTGGCACTCCAAACGGTGACAGTCAAATAACATCCCGATTTTTTGCCTAAATAATTTTAGGTATAATGAGATATCATCAAGAGGAGTCATTGAGATTTGAATCCTGCAACTTTTTTTTTGTTTTTTTTATTTTTCTGGGGAGTGTTTTTAGCCGCGGCAGCACAATAAGGTTGTCTTGAACTTGATGTGTTCTTGTGATGTGCTCTTCTGATCTTATTTATAAGCCATTTTCAGCATGTTTCACACAGACAAAAAAAAACTTTATACTTTATTAATTCTCATTTGAAATTTAACTTTTTAACTTTGTCTCTATTTAATATATATTATATCTCATGTAAATAAAATCAACATAATAATAAATGAGAGGTAAAGATGTATATCCATACAAAAAATTTCTTACTATATAAATAGAACTAAAAAAATATCTTTTTTCTTTGCTTTATAAGTAAGATTAGAGGAGTAATAGTCAAATCCTAAAATACGGAATCTCTATTCATGACTTGAGGCATGTCATCCCTAACGTCAACAGAAACAGAGACATGGTTGAGAATAATAAATATTTTATTTTCAAATGAAAATAAAAATAGTTTCTCAAAATACCAAACAATCCTTGGTTATCTTATTTTTTTTTTTTAAAACCCTTTTTTTTGGTTAATTCCTAGAGTCAACGGAAACGGAAACACATGGTTAAGATGTCTTCCAATTCTACTATACAATTAAAACCCATTTTTACTCGATGGATACAAAACACCCACACTTTAACACTTGGTGTAACAAGCAAATTTGAATTGAGGGGTGATAATTGGCAGTAGACAACAAAGTTGCTTTGTTACTTATTCTATTGGAACAAATTTCAACACTGGACTAAAACGAGACAACGCTCTCAAATCTCTTTCGCATTCATACAAACTTGAGCCAACGATTTCATTCTCAAACAGTTATAATTCTTCTAAAGTGGCCATAGAAGGGCTATTCCTCGTGTCATTGTTTCATCATCCATAGCAAATCACTCAATTTGTAACCCCGAATATTTTCGTTTATAAGAATCCTTTCTACCGTTTTACAATTTTCCTCATTTTCCATTGCCATATGAATATTTCCATTTTGGGGACTGATTACTCAAGCTTAAATACCATGATTAAAGGCATCCATCAAATTCATTTTCAACGGTAAAATATGCTGACCGTAAACTTTCCATATGCAACATGCTATTCATTGATCCGATGGTGATCAACGTTAACAGGAAGGCATGTAGAGCCATGTTTAGCATGCATAACAAGAAAAATTGACAGCATCCCAACCACCAGCAACCACATCTAAGTATCTAACTCTATCCTGATATCACTCCAGTCACAGAAAAGGTTACAACACAAACTCAATTAAGTGTCGCAATATGACATACAACTAAATCAGCATTAACATATAATTACTGTGTAAAGGCAAAGTAACCTATGTTCCTCGTGTCAGTGATTGGTCATACCAAATCTGCTTCAAATTAAAGCTCTTATGGAGCTCACAAGATTGGATCATGTGAATACCAGCTAGGTTGCGGAATTCGCGACAGCATCCCAACGCCATATAGTCCCATCTTCACAGCAGCTCAAAATAGTGCTACAACACAAGAGGATGGCTTTTCAATCAAAAATGTTGGGGGGGGGGGGGGAAGGGCATACTGAACCAAAATTTTGTGCGTGCGTGCGTCTGTTAAAGGAAAATTGCACCAAAATTGTGTGTGGGTGTGAAGGTTTACCTTCCATCATAAGACATAGCAGTTTGTCTAATAGGCGATTTTGATTGAGCATGAGACAACCTAAAAAAAAAAGTGAAACGAAATAAATTTTGTCAAGATTTATCACCGACCAATTCACTTTAAAAGCTCAAACTGTTAAGTAAAGCCAACGGACGGTTTTATTATGATTTTAAGGACGCCCTCTCATTTGAAAGTTTTTTTTCGCTTCAAGTGCGCAAAAAGCATCATCTCATGACTTGTGTTTAAACTTACTTTTAATCAAGACGATGATGGGTAACAAGATTCTAACCCCTGATCACTTAGTTATAAAGGTTGTGCTTTCAAATATTAATGTAACTAGAAAACTTAGGTTTGGGATAACAATTGAAAACACTTATAAGCACATTTCATATAAACCAAGACAAAACTCATTTCACATACTTACCTTGTATTCCATAAATCACTATTAAAAAATTGCTTATAAGCTATTCCAAACGAGCTCTTGATTGGTCAAGCAGAAGCATATGAATAGTTTATCATATAAGATTGCTTATAAGCTACTCCAAATAGGCCTTTAATCGGTCAAGTGGAAGCATATGAATAATTTATCATATAAGATTCACTACTACAAGCCTAACTGAATGAATTGAAACAGACCTTGCAACGAGAACAGGAGGGCTTGACTGCAATTCCCAAACAAAAATCTTCCCTCCCTGTTCCCTGATACGCAAAAAGGGCAAAATACCTTCATATGCAATTACAGTAAAAGCATGAAATTAAAAACTTGCCACCCAAGGGGGGAATGGCTAGCAGTCATGTAACTAATCCCTCATTGGCAAAGCACAGCATAAAAATAGTTCCACGCCATAGGACTGGTAAAAGCCATACACGATGAAACGAAAGTATATGAAACAGAAATTGCAATTGATTATGCAACTCTTACCAATCGCAGCTGCATTGTAATGGAAATCGCAAGAAAACTTGATGAACCATATATCACACTCAGGAACTGGGTATTTCTGAAGGATGTCAGCTACACCCTAACCAAGGCCCAAGAAAAAGACAGAAACTTGATTCAGAAACTGAATCATGTCACCTGACATTTACTAAAACTAACAAAAATTAGACCTCGACAGTGCAGAAAAGAATAACTCAAACCTCCCCTGGAGTCTGTTCCTTTACTTTAGGTTCCCACAAGACAATTTCGTTGTCAACACTCTGGAATCATTACAATCCATCACTTTGGGAATTAACTAAAAAATATGCGGAGGCTGGGAAACAACTTTTATAACAGATTTAGCCAAAGGCTGCCAAGTCACATTAGCTTCAGCTAGACCATAGTTTCTCCCCACAGCCAAACACACTCAAAATTCCTCCTGTTAAAGAATGTACTGACGCTTATATGTGCAATCCCTTACCTTTGAGAGGATAAAATCACCAAGCCACCTATTACAGTCAACGTAATTTGTATGAACCGAAGCAATGAACACCTGAAATTGGATACAGTTATAATAGATTTTGATCTGTAACATGAATAAATTTTTACTTACGGGAAACTGCACATATTTTGTGGGGAACTTAGAAGGAAGATCTGTCCACGTAAATGATTTCTCTACATAAGTCCAGAACTCTGCAGCAACATAAAGTAGATGGCATGACGGAAAAACAGCATATTGACATATCACAATCTCAGTAAAGCTGTATCATAAAATTTATGATAAAGTTCATGCTATACTGAAGTTACATCATTATCAAATTACTAGATAATTAGGCTGAGATGGTCACATTCAGAATTGCAAAAGCTAAAATATCATCCAACATCTATTTGTGAGGAAAAATAAAGATATTCTCACTCTTTTCCAGAATAATTTGTTCCTTAGGCTTCCCTTGATTAGAAAATTCATATTTTTCATTATGCCATGCGGTGCAATATGGGCCAAAAATAAAAGTTAAAGTGGCGTACATGACATCAGGACATACAAAATCAACCTAGAAAAAACTAATAAAGAGCTAAATTTGAATTATACCCTTCATTGACCAAATCTTCACAGTATTGTCCATGCCACAACTTGCAATTCGATATATGTCTGATGGATGAAAGTCCTACAATAACCAAATATTGTCAGTACTGGTAACATCCCAAGTTGTCAACCACACATTCTTTGCACAATATACTTACTACACTCAGAACTTCATTGCGATGACCTCCAGCACCAGCAAATATCAAAATACATATTCCCGTATGTACATTCCATAATCGAACAGACTCATCCTAGTCAACGTTTGACATTATTGTGAGAAAAGATAAATAATACTTAAATCAGTTAAATAAAGAAAGGTCATTCTATTTACTTTGCTTGCAGACACCACAAGTGATGGCTTCAATGGCTGAGTCCTGATTTCATTTATGGAGTCCCCATGGCCAACAAAACTCTGCAAAAAATAACGGTATCATGTCTGGGAAAGTAAGAAGACAGACCAAATTCCATCAATATTATCATGAAAATGAGTTCAGTCAACTATAGTAAGAAGAGGAAGAATAATAGAATGTCTCACAATACCTTGTGTATCTTCTCACTGCCAGCATCAATTACTCGGATTATACCATTGAATCCCCCAGCAACTACATATGGGGTCCCATCAATGTTACATGCCCAACTTACAGTGTAAAAAGACTCATCCTTCTGGTCTACAAAACAAATTAAACTTGCATCAATCTTCCACAAAAACTTATTAACATTTGAGTAGAGAACAGCAGACGGCAATCTTCACTTACATCCTCATCAACGTATGACTGCAAAACAGCTATAACTCCTCCTTCAAGACATTGATAAACAGTAACCTGTGATTAAAGAAAGCAGATTATTACCACTTTTTCTCTAGTAAAAGATTGACCATTAACTAAATAGAAAGAGACAAGAAACTAGTTCCACTTGTGTTATGTCAACACATTTAAAATAAATCAAATAAATAAGTTCCAATTTGTATAATATCAGAGAATATAAGCAGAACGTAAATGGCATAGCAGTAAAGCACCACTATAGAAGACCTAGCATCTGAAAAGCCAAACTCTAATCAATTTCACCTGCTTTCACTTAGAAATGCATGATTACAGCTCTAAGATGCAACCAAAGCGTATGCATAGATATTGCTATATGAAACATTTCTTTGTAATTTTCTTTTCCCAACAATGCTATCTACACCCTCAACGTAATCAATCAATCCAAGCCATCAACAAGCATCCACTCTCCAGCATCGGGTAAATAATCTAGCGAGCTTTATAGCCCATAGTGTTCCCACATTTTCCCCTTAATTACGAAATGACTGCACGATAGCTAAGGGCAAAATCCATGACCAGAACTGACCGAGCGATTCTACATGGAAGACTAAAAGCCACTACAGAAACAGATGAGAAAGAGAAAATCCAAGCTCCAACTAAGATAACTTTGAATTGTCAATGAATTCCACAGTTTAGATGAAAACTAAATAAATATCATTAAAAGTAAATGAATTCATCCACCACATGCTACTAATGCTAACCAAAGCCAATGTAAACATCAAACAAGCGAAATATGCAAATACGAACTGAAAAGGCTCAAATTTTGAAAGGCAAAAAACAAAAAACGCACAAACAATTAATCACATTTTCTGAACATCTTCTCCGAAACAAAACAGAGAAAGAGCACAAACCCTATTGCCACCGACGGTAGCAAAAACGTTGAAGTAGCAGGAGTCAATGAAGTTGAAAACGACGGCGTATAAAGGGCGCTTGCCCTCTTGGAGGCGATTCGTGACCTTGTAGTCCCTCTTCCTCGAAGATGTCAAGGAACCCACGACTGGTTCGCAGCCCAAAGCAACCGGAACAGGTTTGGACATTGCCACAAGATTCTAGAGGGACGATTTCACACCCAAACTTTCCCAGTAGCTGCCTCGCTTGCGGCGTTGCTAAACACAAATGCGCTTGCTGGGCCAAGTTCGGGCCTCTCCTATTGAGTACAGCGGAGCTGCCGCCACCAGCAGAGAACTACGCGCGAATGGGTTTACTGCCCAAAGGCGCCGATTTGGTCAATTAAATTTAAATCATAGCCTTTTACTTCATCTAACGGATGTCATCATGCCATGTGACAAACATAGCAGGTTTCTTTTGGTTATTTTATTTATATTACATTGTGAGATAAATATACTTATATTGCATTATGCGCATTAAAAGCCAGAAAAATAACCCGTAAATCTCAGATTAAAAAAATTAAACATAAAGAAATCTCTGAATATTCATATTAAAATTAAAACCTGAAATTTTGTAATTCAAATTTAACAATTTATATTTAGTCAAACTTTTAAATTATTTGAAAATGTTAAAAAAAAAAAAAAAAGAACATTGTCAGCCCTAACTGAAGATAGCTCTCCCAAAAATGATGTTGACATCCACATGAACTTGAGCTCAAGAATCGTACCAAGCTGTTAAAATCCCTTTTTTTTTCAGCCGGTAAATCCCATTTATTCTAAAAGACGTTTTTTAAGAGCATGAAATTATCTGTATTCCTGCCGGTGCCCACGCAGAAATACATGTAAATATATATACACCACCTTTTATCCTTAATATAAGATTTTGTTTAATTTTTATTTTGGTTCTAAATATAAGATTCCAATTCACTTTGTCTCTCATATCTAAACATTTTTTTCCAAGGTAATCCTTTTAACAATGATAATTCTAACCAATATACTTGATTAATATCAAGAGTATTTTAAGAGAGACAACACTTATTTATTACAAACAACTAACTTAACTTATTTTCTTAATCTCTTCAGATTAGTTAATTAGCTCTTATAATTAAAACTGGAGATAGTGTGTGTATATATATTTTTATATTCCTGAAGCCCACATGCAACTTAATTATGAAAAGGTTATCATTCAAGCCAAAAATCAGCCTGATCATGTCTATAAGAAAATAACAAGAATCACGTCTCAGGGCTATGCATGAAGCTTGACGTATTAAACATGCAAGATCGCTGAACTAAGAGCGAGCATATACGCAAATACATTAGCTTTGGATCTAAAGATGGCGGCTTCGTAGCTTAAGAATGTTATGGCGATGCAAAGGCCACGCAAGGATAGATTAGATTTCTACGCAAGTTACAGAGCTTTTGCTCAAAGCTTTGGAGAAAATTTCAGTACAGAATTTTTATCTATCGAGTGAATCCATCGGAACCCGAAGGCCGAAAACCTGGTTGGGTCATAAATCATATATCCATATCCAGTATAAATTGTTCGTTTACAAAAGTCGGCAAATCAGTGAGGTTCCGGACGCAATAGGAAGGCTTCTTCCATGGCCCTCGCAATAGACAGAAGCTCCCCTGCTATTAGGTAATTGGTGCCAACATCGTCGTCGTTCAGCGGCAATGGATTCTCCCTCTCTTTTTCGCAGATCACAAATCTACAGATTGGACACTGACCTTGGCTTCTCAGCCATGGCATTATACAATCCTCATGAAACATGTGCTTGCAAGGCGTCACCATTACCTCCTGTTTCGGCACGAAATCCTCTAAGCACACCGCACAACTCTTTCCCTTCTCGTTCTTTTCCGTGTTCTCGATCTCCTTTAACGCATTCACACCTTTAGGGTCTCTGTAATAGAAGCTCAATTTCTTCGCTAGAGTTTTTGAAGTTGAAATAGTGGGTTGGTAGATTTCTTTCTTCAGCTTGCTCAATGCTCTAGATCTGGGATTTTCTAGCGAAGTTGGAGCTTGTGTGTCTGATTGGCGTGCGTATCTTCGAGGTGGAACTGATGGCTGGCGAGTTTCTCTGAGCCTGGGGTTAAATCCCATTCCTGTACCTCGAATGCGCGGTTGTGCTGGAAAACTGTAAATTGCTTCAAGGTTAGTGAATCAATCTGGGCTTTTTTGGTTCTCCCGTCTAGCTTCAAATTCACAAGTGCATGCAACTAAATAACATATTAATATGAAATTTAGAACTAGTGTACGTCGTCTATACAAAGAAGGAACATTGTAAGCGTAACCTGTCTTCCAGAAATCGTGGATAATTGACTACATTTGATGTTCTCTCGTCCTGAAAATACTGGCAAAAAAAATGTACAAATGTGTTAGCGTCTCCACCGATGATAGCTCAACTTTCTGATACAATTAACATTGATTTAGCAAGACTCTGCTTTTATCATTGCTGAATGTAGTTTTCTCGGTGCTTAGATAAATCTCTGGGCTATGGATATTTTGTCTTAAATCGGCTTCAATAAGTGGGGCAAACGCTTATTATCTTCAAAGAACAGTGTGATATTCAAATGTTTCAAGGTCTGGATTTCTGACTAATTCTTTATTACCTTGTAATTTTCCTCAACGTTTGAAGTTCTAAGAAGCCAAGAAAAAAGATTGTACTTACAGGACTGGCTTGTCTTGAAGAAGATCGGTAGAACACTGGCACCTCATAAGAGTCGCTACAGAAGAAAATTCCCAAGTTTAATGGTCTAAACTTCATACAAATTGAACAGTAATTGACAAATAAAATCATCTATATTTCTCTCTGTTATCTTTGTTGGAGTCTTGTCTTATATGCCAAAGTAGTTTAAGCTATTTAGGTTGGGCCTGTAAGCTTTTGATTTATCTTCTAATTTTGTTAATCATACAATTTAACAAGTATATGATTTCGATAAAACACGAAACAGACCAGTTATTTCTTCTTACATGTAAAATGATCTATTTTGTTCCACACGGCTTCTACTTAAATAAGAGAAGAAAATTCATGCTCTAGCAATCCCATTTACTTGAGCTTGTAAGTTTGAGTTGTGGTCTTACTCAGGTATGCTGTAGTGTCCTGCATGCCTTCTATCAGCTGGGTACCACGGAGGATTCTGTGGACTTGGAGTCGTCTGAACCTGGTAGAAATATCTTAGCTTTACGACAATAATAATTCAACTTTCTGAAGCTATGAACATGATTCAACAAGATTTCTTTTTATTACTTAACGTTTTGGTTCTTAAAAATAAATATTATATGAGTAATGGATATTTTATCTTAACCTAGCAGCAGTCAGTGGGCAAATATTACCTTGACACAAAAAAAAAATTGTACCAAGTCAAGAAAGAATATTGTACTTACATAAGTGGCAGGTCTTGAAAAATCTTGGTAGGACACGGGCACCTCGTAAGAGTCACTTCTGGAGAAAAATCCAAATTTAGTGCTAACACCACAAATTTCATAACAATCGATACATGCATCTATATACTACATTCCTTTTAGTATGATTTAGTATGTACTAATTGTCATTTAGTAATGAATTGTTTAAAATAGCTATTATAAAGATAACAATTCTGTCAAAGCCTTGTAGCTCTTAACAATTGCTTCGGCAATCAATCATTTTTCCTCAATTCTTTTCTCTGTCATCAATTTACAATATAATACTCTGTATTACTAATCATCGCATGATTAGATAACCCTAAAACATCATCTTCTTCCACTGACAGGCATTTGCAGACTATTCATAACTAGTCGTGTACCATTTTCTTCTCACATGTAAAGTGGTCTATTTTGTTCTGCTAAGTAAATATTTAATGAAGAAAATTCATTCTCTAATAATCTCATTTGCATTTCACATTTGCTATTACTGAGTTTGTAAGTCTGTGAAGTCTGGCATTACTCAGGTATGCTGTAGAGCCCTGCTTGCCTTCTATCTGCCATATACCCCAGAGGATTCAGTGGACTTGGTGTCATCTGAGGCTGAAAATAACCAATATAAAAGTATTTCAGTGTCTACAACAATGATAATTCAACATCCTGATACTATGAACATGATTTAACAAGACCCTGCTTTTATAGCTGCTGGATGTAAGTTTCTCTGTCTTAACCCAGCAGCAATAGTGGAGAAAATATTACTTCAAAGAGAAGTGTCATATTTCACACATCTCACAGTCCAAATTTTTGAATAATCTTTTCTAAGTACAGTTTCCCTCAACACATGAGCTCCAAGCCCACAAATAGAAGATGGAATTATGGAACTTACAGGAGTGGTAAGTCTAGAAGGACTCGCAAGCGCCTCGACAGAGTGCCTATTGGTGGGAGTATCGTGAGCAGAGGCTCTAACACCCGTTCTGCGAGACTCAGGTGAGAGAGCAGAATTATTGGTTCTTCTCATTATTTCGCTTTCCTCCTCCTGGGCATCTAAAGTATTTTTCCTCCAGTAGATGTAAATGTGGCCTTGTTTTTCAACTTTGGGGGTTCCTTGGCTTTGTTTATTATTTCCGCTGTCATCAAGAATATATATTTGTCATGATTTTCCTAGCTTCTTTATATGTTATTCTGATGCAAAGTTTGATTCTTCATCCATTTTCAAGATGCTCTCAGCTGGTGGGTGGCCTCTACAGAGAAATGCAAGCCAGGGAAATGACGAAGGAATCACATTCGTGGAGTGTAGATGGATTCTTCAACTTTATCCCTTTTTTTTAGAGCGCTGCTGGCCAAATGCTGCCCCCACTCCTAAATATAAAAACTAATAAAGGATTATTTTGATCATAAATATAATACCTCAATATATTCTGTCTCTTAAATTTATAATTTTTTTAATCTAAAATATTCCCATTAATTGCACATAAAAAAAAGAGTAGTTACAACACACATTATCAGAAAAGATATTGTAAGAAAACCAACATGCATTTATTACAAATAATTAACTTAACTAGTTTTGTTAATATTCATAAATTAATTATTTAGCCAAAGACCGGGATAGTGTTTAATGGCACCCTGAGTTGAAAGGAACAATTTTTGTCCCCTATCAAATTCAGCTCCACCGGAAGCACTGTATACATTTGCCGAAAATTCTGAGCTATTCCTATTCTTATTTCGTTCAAATGTTGAGGTTTCTACGTATATAAGAATAACTGGAATGATGACATGATAACGATCACTTCGTTCATGTCTGAACTGATTTATTGATAATAATCAATATTCTGATTCGTGACACATCTCATCACTAAAAAGAATTTGATTACATTAGTAATAAAAATGGGGTGTAGAGACATAAATCCACATCAGGAGATCGATGTCTCTGGATTCTGAGGAAGATTGATGTGGACGAAGGTAATTTAAGACTTTTAAGTTGTGTTATTGAAGGGATGAGATGTAGACTCTGTCCGATCCTTTTTTGGGTAATTTGTTTAAGCTTGGAGGCGTGACTGTATAAATACTAAAATGTAGCATCATGCTACCTCCTCCTTAACATTTAATTTGATCTTAAATATAAGATTTCAATTCACTTTACCTGTCATATTTATTCATTGTTTTTCAAGATAGTCATTATAGTAGTTGCACATGTTAAATATTTCATCAAATGGTAGTCTTAATTAATATACATAATTAACAAAGATATTTTAGAAAAGATAACACTTATTTATTATAAATAACTAACTTAACTAATTTTTTTAATCTACTCAAATTAATTAACTAGTTCTTATATTAAGAACCTGACTTAGTACTATATTACTCCTCCAATCCTTAATATATGACCTAATTATTAAGTTAATTTTGGTCATAAATATAAGACCTATTTATCATATTTATCAATTTTTTTTAAATTGCTCCTATCGATATTCTCTCAACCACAATTAGGGAAGTGAGGGAAGAAGGAGATTAAGAAAGATGATTATGGTATTTTAGGAAAAACATGTCATATTTTTTTATAATTAATTAACTTATCTAACTTTATTAATCTAATAAAATTAATCTAACATGCAATTTTACCCTTGATCTTTTTAGTGGTGCCATTTTGACCATAATCCTTTTTCTTTTTTGTGTGCAATTTTACCCTCAGGATCAAAATTGTACCTAAAGATCGGAGGTAAAATTGTACTCAAGAAAAAAAGACTAGGGACAAAACCATATTTAAGAAATAAGATTAGGGGTAAAATCACATTTGAGACATAAGGTCAAGGTCAAAATTGTACCTTGACCCATTAAGAAAACAGAAATACAAGGCTTCATATTATTTTTATATGTAAAAATTGACATGAATATATACCGATGTTTAAGGATGTAGTTGAAAAACACATCATTATATGCGACTAGAGTGTGAATTTGATAAATAATTTAGAATAACCGAATCCAACTTCCTTGAAAACTTTAAATATTAGAGGCTTGAACTTCAGATTCAGCTTCTCTCCTCTGCTGTTTCTCCACCACTGCCTGTCCGCTATCCAGAGACGACGTCGTGTGCTGTGAAAGAAAGGGTCAAGTGACTGAACAACGGCCTGAGATGCTGAAATGGTAGAAAGGCTAATTATTTTAATAATAAATTAATATCAATGATCATCCTCAGTAGATGCATTTTATAAAATTAAAGAAATATTTGTATTTCAATAAAAACAAAAAAATCAAAAAAATAAAACAAATAAATTAAGTGAGTAAAATAATTTGAGTAAGTAACATTTAACATCTTGAAATTTTTTTAACACTCAATGTCCTAAAGTAAAATAATTGGGATGAGTATTTGACACAAATGTATGAAAAATAAAATTCTAAATATAATTATCAGTTCATCATTCACAAACACACACACACAAATGATCAAATGGGTGGGGGGTGATTGATGTGGGTATACGCACTTAAACTTGCAGATGATGATTCTCAATTACAGTTTATTTTCCCTAGCTTCGTGCCAAGTTAATTCCTTCAATAAATTAAATTCAAATAGAATGCTCGAGAGGATAGAAGAAGAATCTAAAAGAAACGAGTCTAATTAAGCGATAACTTGCTAATGACAAATGGGCGTACGCAGACAAATTGTTTGTGTTTTTTCCTTTCACCACCAAGTTGTTGGTTGTCGTAAGTAACTTGATTTGGTAAAGAGAAGAACATAAATTTAAATATTCAAAAGCATACTTATTGGTGGGAGAAATAAAAGTCCTGGAATACTCTTATTCAAATAACAAAAAAGTTGTTTGATTTTTAGATTTTCGTTCTCTCCCATAGATAAAACTGTTTTGGCTAGCTCGGGGAACGTTGTGGTTTGTGCCTTTGTATGTTTATGCCTTTGTAATTTTTAACTGATGTGTATGTTACATATTTTAGATGGGAGAATTACAGTCAAGTCTCAAACAAAAAAATAATTACTAACAAGTCCCAATAACTATCTAAGAAGTCTGTAATAACAGGTTTTAAAATAGACAATGATAACTTTTGAGACTTATTTTATAATTATTTTTATTTTTTGGGATGCATTGTAATTCTCTCATTTTAGATAACGTAAAACTTTTCTAAAAGATGCCTTGTATAAAGGTTTTTCAAATTAATATATATAATATAATATAATATAAAGGTACCTCGCTTTTAAGTAATAAGACGTTAAAAATCAGACCTGTTATTAAGCCAATCGATACAACAGGTCAAGTGTCAATAGGTTTGATTGGATCAATTCATAGTCGCATCGATCATAATTTATAAATAGAATTTAAATAAAATTTATAAATTTTTTTTAATAAAAATAATATTAAAAATATCCTATAAGGAACAAGTGGGTTTTCTCTTCTCCTCGTGGTCTTCAAATTTTATATATATTTTAATATTTATATATAATTAATAGTATATTTTAACATGGGAATATGTATTGTGCAATATGAATATTTTTTTGGGTACAGTGCAAGAAAGAATATTTTATTATTTGCATAAGACTCCCGTGCAAGTTTTAGAAAACAAAAAAGAAAAAATAAATTAAATAATAAGCTACCAGGCACCAGCCACTTGAATCTCTCCACATGTTTAGTCTCTCTCTCGTAGTTTGCGACAACGAACGTTCAAGGCCTCCCTCTCCAAACTGGGCATGTGATTAGGTCGTCTCTTTCGGCACGACGGGACGATCCAATCCAGTTTTTAATTCAATGCCTCTAAGCTAAAGCTATTTTTAATTTCAACAACTTCAAAGACACCAACTTTAACAAGAGTTGGATTACCTACCCTAATCCTTAGGTTATTTTTCAATTTATATACTTATTACGTTCATATCAATCAAGCAACTTTAATTTGAATAAATGCAATAGATTCTGTTAAAGTAAAAGTATATCATGACATTATATATAAAACTATATCATTCCTGTTTTAAGTCACAAGACATTTCTAAACCTGTGATTCTCAGAACCTAGCTGAAGACGCCATGGAAGAACCTCGTATGCACATAGCAATGTATCTCTGGCTAGCTATTGGCCACATAACCCCATGTATTCAGCTCTCAAACAAATTAGCCAAAAGAGGTCACAGAATCTCCATTTTCATCCCCACGAGAACACAATCCAAATTACAGCATTTGAATCTTCATCCTCATCTCATCACCTTCATACCCATCACTGTTCCTCACGTTGAAGGCCTTCCTCATGGTGCAGAAACAACCTCAGACGTGGATCGATCTCACCATCCCATCCTTATGACTGCTATGGACCGTACTGAGAAACAAGTGGAGGATCTCTTGATTCAGCTAAAACCCAACATTGTTTTCTTTGATTTCACATATTGGCTGCCAGATCTAGCTCGAAGATTGGGAATCAAGTCCGTTCAGTACGGGGTTACTGGTTTAGTAGCTAAAGCTTTGTTAATATACAGAGAAACACAAGGCCTGCAAGCAAGGAATAATCAATCTGGTTTCCCTGATATAAGGCTTGATATGCATGAGGAAAAATACCTGGAGAAGCTCAAGGGATTCGAGTTTGGAAGTGGCGTTCGCTTCAATGATCGAATTGACTGGGGTACAAGCTCATCAGACGCACTAGCGTTCAAAAACTGTAGAGAAATGGAGGGTCCTTTTGTGGACTACCTAGAAAAAGTGTCGGGGAAACGCATTTTGCTATCAGGACCTGTTATACCAGAACCACTCACCTCAACTTTAGAGCCAAAATGGGATCACTGGCTTGCAGGATTCAAGCATGGTTCTGTGATTTACTGTGCATTTGGAAGCGAATGCAAATTAGAGCTTAGTCAGTTCCAAGAATTGATTTTGGGTCTTGAGCTCTCAGGTATGCCATCATTTTTAAACTTCAACAGGGTAATATAAACTAATTAGAATAATTAAGTAGCAGAAACTTCATTACTTTCAATTACTTATTTGAGAGATTTAACTTCCCTTCAACCCAACCATCTAAGTTTACAGTTTTTTCTCATCCGTCCCATTAAAACCCTAACTTTAAACTCTGGTATAGGGATGCCTTTTTT